GCAGAATAAGTTGGGTTTGTTCAGTAAAAAAATGTCCTAATGGCATCCGTTTTCAAGATACAAGGTGTTGAAAAAATGATTGTTTTACACATTTTTTACGATTACGTCGAAACTACTGGAGACATTGTAATGAAATTTTGTATGGATGTTTTTTGGAAACATGCACTACGTAGTATAGCAGAAAATATATATTCTAATTCAGGTATATATATGTAATCTTATATTGAATTATTGGTGGTTGGTGTGCAAATCAGAATCATCAGTCACGTGAAACGTTTTTTAAAGGGCATTATTCATTACCAGATATTGACACCATGCCGAGCACCATATGCCGCACCCATCAGAAATGGTAAAAAAGTTTGCATTAGGTAGTCCGAAGAAAATATACCTATAAGCAAACACTGAGTCACAAGCAAGACATTGTTTTTTCGAACAACCCTCCGTGCATCAATATAGGTATAATATGTTTTTTGATTCTACTTGCATGAACCCATCTTCATGCCATGTGGAAATCACGTAACCTATTGCGTTTCTAAAAAGTGCAATTGATTCGTTTCAAACCACTAACTATTAATTGTCGACTTTGACGTCCCACATAATTTCAATTCCATACAAAAAACATAATAAATCTCGCAATAATTCCATGCATGGCTTCCTTCGATTCCATGAGCCTTGTTATAAAATTATTATAGTCCATCAGCTTTTTATTTCTCGTAGGTACGCTGCTACTGAATATTTATTTGCTGACGCATAATAATTATTTAGACCTGTTAATGAGCAAATCCATAGCATATTCATTATGAACACAACATGAAGATACCTACTAATACAAAGAAAATTTGTCGGAATTGTTGGTGGTTCTATTTCTGACTAGTAAAAATGGCCATTATAGTTTCAAGGCCATGCCATCAGAATCTTAATTGAAAATAGTTAAAACAGAAACTGAAAACGTTATTTTCGTTAATTCGCTTAATTGGTGATGCATATTAAGTATAACATTAACATAATAATTATAATCATGAACACTGATGAAAATTGATTAATGATTATTACATAACCTATACACCTATAAACATTGAAGTATGAGCAGGTACACCCGCCGTCAGAGAACATGTTGCACATACCTAGTCGGTTGCCGCTGCAATAAGGGCGCTTCCACCGGCCATGCAACCGCGTAATCGTCTCTGATGGCTAGTGTACACTCGTCGTCAGAGATCATGTCCCACATGGACGGTGTCAGCTCCCCTCTGAAGACGAGTGTACATAATATAATCGTATCGAGTATAATTTGAATAATAGTACTCTGGATTGAATTGACTGAGGAGAGAGACACATATTCGAGGAATATATATATAGTCCCGCGCAGATCCATGCACTTACCCGGGTGACAGATTCATGCATGATGGTATACCCCCCTCTTCTCCTTTGGTTTTCTGCACGGTTTGTTGAATTTCAGTCAAAATAGTGTTATAAGGTATATGATTTCTCGAACATTTCTCATACTCCGAAAGTTCAATGGGTGTGACGGCGCAATATGGAAAATTCGTTCTCTGTCACACTCATTGAGCATATGGAAACTACGAACGCGAAAATCTTCGTATATAATTGTTCTAAATAACCCAATCAAAAACTACGAACGCGAAAATCTTCGTATATATAATTGTTCTATAAATAACCCAATCAAACCAACACGGTATTGTTGAATTCGTTATAATAATTTCTCGCTGACTATGGAATGACATGCAGGGTGTTTCATTTGAAAATCTAGAGTTGATGTCATTTCCAGAAAAACCGGAAGATGAAAAGTGATGCCCTCGCTGGTGAGCATATTCGATCTTCCAAATTTCAGTCACCCGGTATATATAAAGGCATGGAGAGTATCTTTGTTACACAGATGCGAGGATTTGCAAAACCTTTTGGATCATGTCAATGTTTTTTTGAACCAATGAGCTCAAGTTGAAGCTACAAGAAATTTTACTATGCAGCATTGACTCATATATATACCTATCCCATTTTGAAAACAATTCCGAAGTATATATCATACGACGAGTAGGTACCTAGGTATAGTTGATAACGTTACAAGACCGATATGTAGCAGAAAATAACGAAAGACGAAGAATATGGTAATCCGAAGCGCCTCCGAGGATTATAACAACCGAATCCGTTATTTGCGTATCGGCCGTGTGTCGTTCAAGACTTTTCGTAATTCTGCTGAAAGATTACATTTTGATTCCGAGGACAGAACACACCACGTATCTCGTAATTCTACAGAAAACCCATCATCGTGTTGTTATGGACGGCCATCCGTTAAACAATCGGATGGAGGCTCTTAACATTACCTTTTCAATTGTCATCTGAATAATAAATGAGTTTTTCTTATTTAGTGAACAAGCATACCAAATCTCGTAGCAGATGACGGCCATTTAATCAATAGTCAATCCAAATACGAGATGTCAAATGTCAACAGATTACTCTTGTTTTAGATGTATGACAAACTGACATTCATCATACAGGGCGTGGAAAGAAATTCTGAATTGAGAAAAAACCCAATCACGAATCTGCGATTGAAGGTCTATAAAAATAACAAGTTTCCATCGTTCAAGTTTGAACCCCTTGATTGGGTATGAAAGTATTGAAAACGAATAATATTCTCAGATATATTATAAACATGAAAAAATTGATTCATTTGAATAAATACATTGAGAATTCGCATTCTCTATGTGATGAAATTATTAATCCTTTCTCGGCATATTCAACAGAAAACAACTACTTTCCTGGCTATATGCCACGACGAACATTGAATTATATCAATTGAACATACACGATAAGAATTTGAGCATAAAATGAATATCGTCTGAAATTGAGAATTGACATTCTCTTCCAGAATCGGATGAATACTATGATGAATATAACGATATAAAAAATATATTACTTACCAAATTGGTATGAAAATTGGAATGTATGGGAGAAATATACTAGTATACATACTCTGTTCTTGTTGAGTCGTGAATTTATCAAAAATCATCCGTATCCATGATGTTTGGGATATATGCACATCTCTTTCACATAGGTTAGATGATTTTGATTCGAATAAAATTCATTTCGAGTTTCAAACTCTCCTCAGTAACCTGAAGTCCAGTCATTCCTTCAGCCATTCTTCATTTAATACACAATTTTCACATTTCTATAATAATATAACTAAAACTATAGTGGAACTGACATCTATCTGAGAATGAAAATTTGTTGACTTATCTCCAGTCATGTGGGTGGCAATTGTTTTAGATGTATGACAAACTGACATTTATCATACAGGGCGTGGAAAGAAATTCTGAATTGAGAAAAACCCAATCACGAATCTGCGATTGAAGGTCTATAAAAATAACAAGTTTCCATCGTTCAAGTTTGAACCCCTTGATTGGGTATGAAAGTATTGAAAAGGAATATTCTCAGATATATTATAAACATGAAAAAATGGATACATTTGAATAAATACATTGAGAATTCGCATTCTCTATGTGATGAAATTATTAATTCTTTCTCGGTATATTCAACAGAAAACAACTACTTCCCTGGCTATATGCCACGACGAACATTGAATTATAGAATATCTATCTATCAAGATAGAATTTGAGAATAAAATGAATATCTTCTGAAATTGAGAATTGACATTCTCTTCCAGAATCGGATGAATAATATGATGAATATAACGATATAAAAAATATATTACTTACCAAATTGGTATGAAAATTGGAATGTATGGGAGAAATATACTAGTATACATACTCTGTTCTTGTTGAGTCAATTTTTTCATGTTTATAATATATCTGAGAATATTCGTTTTCAATACTTTCATACCCAATCAAGGGGTTCAAACTTGAACGATGGAAACTTGTTATTTTTATAGACCTTCAATCGCAGATTCGTGATTGGGTTTTTTCTCAATTCAGAATTTCTTTCCACGCCCTGTATGATGAATGTCAGTTTGTCATACATCTAAAACAATTGCCACCCACATGACTGGAGATAAGTCAACAAATTTTCATTCTCAGATAGATGTCAGTTCCACTATAGTTTTAGTTATATCATTATAGAAATGTGAAAATTGTGTATTAAATGAAGAATGGCTGAAGGAATGACTGGACTTCAGGTTACTGAGGAGAGTTTGAAGCTCGAAATGAATTTTATTCGAATCAAAATCATCTAACCTATGTGAAAGAGATGTGCATATATCCCAAACATCATGGATACGAATGATTTTTGATAAATTCACGACTCAACAAGAACAGAGTATGTATACTAGTATATTTCTCCCATACATTCCAATTTTCATACCAATTTGGTAAGTAATATATTTTTTATATCGTTATATTCATCATATTATTCATCCGATTCTGGAAGAGAATGTCAATTCTCAATTTCAGAAGATATTCATTTTATTCTCAAATTCCTATCGTGTATGTTCAATTGATATAATTCAATGTTCGTCGTGGCATATAGCCAGGGAAGTAGTTGTTTTCTGTTGAATATACCGAGAAAGAATTAATAATTTCATCACATAGAGAATGCGAATTCTCAATGTATTTATTCAAATGAATCAATTTTTTCATGTTTATAATATATCTGAGAATATTCGTTTTCAATAGATTACTCTTGAATGACATTATACACGCCATCATTATTTTGAATGATATTCTTCTAGTTTCTAGTTGACTCACATAATATAATAGAAAAAAATGTATCGTACATTGTGATATATTTAAATTGTCCAATGATGAAAAAAGAAGGGAAATTGTTCTAAATGGCATCCATAGGACAGGCGGAAAAGAAGGTTGTAACTTCATAGTGAAATATCTTAGTGAATAATGGCTTGACCACATTTTCATTATCAAATTCGTGTTTTTCAGACAAAAATACGTAAGTACAAAAAAAAATTTGGAAAAAAACCCATCGCATGATAAATGCAGTTTTACCCAGAACTAGTTCAAAAATGGAAAATCTACCTTGTGGAAGCACTGTGCAGGTAGGCTGGCCGGTAGTATGAACGTCCAAATTCGTGTACGACGTCGGACAATCCCCGTAGAACGGTTCACCGTTGGCCGTCACCATGTCCATCACCTGCAGCACCATGGTGCCCCCCGCGGTCTCCGTTTTTCCACTGATTTTCCTCTTGTCGATCGTGTCTATTCGACCCCTCGAACTGTACTGATGCGAAATACGCGCCGCGCGATACTTCAACTGCGTCACGTGAGCTGTGCCGACCGCCGTATTCTGCGCTACGTCTCAAACTGGAAGCGCACCGGCGATTGTTTCGTCGCGGCCTCCTACTCCGCGCGTCGCGTCTTTGTTAGCGGTCGGAGGGGAAGTAGAGAGAGGGGATAGGGAACAACGCGCCCCACTCCGCTGGGATCGGCGATGCGAGGCTAGCGGCTAGCGTAACGCGGTTGATTGAAGATTAGGAGAACACGTAGTGGGATAATATAGCAACGATATATTATTTCCATTGAGAATTATTTTATGGTACTGCGATGAGAATGAAAATTTATCCATCTATCTCTATATAGGAGCAACTATGTGAGCCTAAGGATAAATGTTTTAACTTCTGTTACGTCATAGTTGAAAGAATTAATAGTCTATTGAAGAAGAGTGTTAAAATTCGATAGAGTGATCAACCAGCGAATGGAGGTTCCTCTTGAAATAAAAATTAATCGAGCAGCACCTTATACGACTTCCGATGCTTATGCGACAGGAAGTTGTCCTCGTGACCACCATAGTTATTAATTGAACCGTTTATTACCATAGGATCGGATGAGTTCAAAAAACTTCATTGAATAAGTACCTACCAACCACAAGAGGTTGTGGCAATGACGCAGAGAAAATTATTAAATAATACACGGAGGTTACACATATACAGGGTGATTCTCAACCTACACCATCATGAGATATACCTCAATTCATAATATAAGAAATTATTATATGTTATCGCTGTCTGAAATTCCTTGGCGAACTATTGTGAGGTTATGGTATCAACCACAACGATATTTTGATGGACGATTGTCTATAATATACTTCCTGGCACATCATTTGGTGGTTTCAAACATTTTTGTATAAATACCATGGTATATATAGGTAGTTATTATATACATAAACGACGATTAGGATATAGGGAATTTCTCGGAACTTGAGAGTATATGGTAGTGCAGCTTGTTCTGATTTTTTTTATACCCAATTAGCTTTCTATTTCCGGCCATGATATGACAACAGTAGAGCAGATTCAAAATTTTGAATGGAACAACCTGATGTAGATATTATATTTCGCCATTCCTATGTTACTTCCAATGAAACGATTCCAACAAATTATCACATTTTGGAGTCTAAATCGATTAATTTATAGGAACTAAATATAATATGTAGCCGGTAAAAAATTTTGTAGCTAAACAAAATAACCAACTACAACCTGATCTAAGAAGATGTTTTCACTGAAAACCACTAGGTATTCTCTCTATTATATACTCATATTTATTATACCAGGTGCGTTTAAAAATAAACCTGACTCTCCTGCTATAGGATGGATAGAACACGCAAAATAAGTTATGGGTTTGTTCATTAAAAAATGTAGGTAGGTATTAACGGCATCCGTTTTCGAGCTACAAAGACAAGGTATGTTAAAAAAAATTGTTTTTTAACATTTTTGACGTTTATGTCGAAACTACTGGCAACATTGTAATGACATTTTGTATGGACGTGTTTTAGAAGCTGACACATCGCGTGATTTTTTTTATTTCTGTCCCTCATAGAGGGCGCTAGATACGCATGATTCGTAACGGGAGGTTTCAAACATTACTTTCTTGAGGTTATAGATTTTTCAATCCCAATTTGATGTGAACTTGAATATCATTGAATTCAACATCGAAAAGGTATAACCCTGATATCATTCAATACTGGTGTACAGATTGATTACCTATTTTTTCAGATTCAGAAACAATAACATTATTCTTGTGCTTAAGTTATACCTATATTGATTGAACAAAGAATCGCAAGTATAGAAAATTGAGTGAAATTTGATAATTTCTCACCTGTGAGGTTCTGCACCCATGCAAACATATTCTGATGCTATTATAGATTCCATCCAAAATGTTCTTCAGAAATCTCATTCCACGACTAGCAATACCAGCCAGATGAACTCGACAAGCGCGAGTGTGATTCATTAAGTTTAGCATTAGAAATGAATTTTTGTTTTCGATTTTCAATAAATATTAGATAGTTTTTCATAATATTGAATCTAATAGGTATACATATAGCATATACCATCAGCAGAGATATCATTCATCATTTTCAAATCGAAATATTTCGAAAATGGATCACAGTATCGAGTACTTTTTTGGTGAAAAACTGAATGATTTTCAAGTTCACATCAAATTTGGTTTGAAAGATCTAACCTCAAAAAAGTCATGTTTGAAGCTATATACCTACTTGGTACGAACCATGTAACTAGCGCCCTCTATATGAGAGTCAGATATAAAAACGAATTCATGCAATGTGTTAGCTTTCAAAACACATCCACAAAAAATTTCATCACATGTTGCCAGTAGTTTTCATTACATGTTGCCAGTAGTTTCGAGACATTCGACATAATCGTGAAAGATGTGAAAAAAAAAAAATTTAACACCTTGTATCTTAAAAACGGATGCCATTACGACATTTTGTTATACTATAAGCAATCGCAACTTATTTCGCAGTGTTCTACCTACCCTAGCAAGGGAGTCCGGTTTCTTAGAAACACCCTGTATACTTTCATCTTATTCCCACGCATATCTGGGACCCACAAAAATGGTTTTTAAAAAGAATCCCCGCGCCATCGAGAAACAAAAGTCCATCGCCAAGGTCAAATCCCATCCGACCGGAAAAAACAATAGGGTATGCCCTATGGGTATGCCGCGTTGAATGCACCAAACTATAATGAAGCGATGTTGTCACTTTTTTCTTCGTTAGAAAATAGGTTAAAAGCACTGGTTAACCGACCAGCACTGGTTCTCGACCGTTTCGGCATTTGAGACAAAATAATAAGATAAATATCCCTTATACCATTGAAATTACTAGAAAATGTGTTTTCGACCACTTCACACAATTTCAAATAGCTGGCAGAGGAAGGAGAAAAGTCGAGCTTTTCGCACAGAAAATCATTTGATAACCGTCTGTCATTGACAATGGTTGTGTTATCATCCATGTTTGAAAAGTGCTAGTTCCCTATAGCGTATTCCAGTTCCATCTGTGTACCAATTTATGGCTCCTTCTATGCAAGCTCAATATATCCATGGACACATTGTTCCATTCTGCAATTAACGCAAAATAGCTTCGATTAATCATAACGGATTGGTTCACGCGAAATTAGCGTCGTTTTCAATTTCCTGGTTCCCACGAAAACGGATATCCTGTAATGTTCAGAGAACATCGTGAGAACCAAGGGAAATAAGGTATAGGAATTGGTGCTCTTCTTAAATTTCTGGAGGTTGTAGGCCTCGGGGAACACCTTCCTTGGCAATGTGTTCCAGAGCCTCGCTGTTCGTTGAATGAACGAGTCTTTGGAAAGAGATGTTTTGCAGGTCTCCAAATTCACCACGAAAGGATGCGAAGCCTCAACTCGACGGGTTAATCTCGCGGGGACTGCCAAGGAAGGAATAATTATTGTTGATATTTCAGAAGAGCATCGACCATGAAAATATCTATAAAATAGAGCCAGATCGCCAACTTTTCTACGGTGTTCCAGAGAAGTGAGTGAGTTTGTGAGCAAGGCATCACCCACGAGACGAATTGCCCTTTTTTGGACAGAACCCAACCGTTTCAGGGTATGTTTGGGTGCTGCACTCCAAATATGGGAACAGCATTCCAGGACAGGTCGGATCTGTGCCTTAGAGATCATAAGCAGCTGACTGGAAGTGAAAAAGCTCCTGGCTTGAAACAGAAAACCAACTTCTTGAGATGCACTTTTAGCAATTGATCTCACGTGATTTTACCAAGAAAGGTTATTGCTGATAGTAGTAGGTACCAAGCATCGAAATAGATGTTTTCAAAGGGATGGTTACTCATTCATAAGGAAATGCTCCACGCGAAAACGTAGATTAATCAAGAGCGAAAGATCCATGCGAAACTTCGACGTCACTACCTTCATGACACGTGAAGATGTGACAAAATAAGATCCACGTTACCGTGGTTCTAGATACGGCCTTTTTTAATCCGATAATTTATTCAAGAGTTATTATATCCATCATCAGGCTGGATCGTTTTCAGTGGCCCACCCAGTATAGTTTCAATATATGATTCAATGAAAAATGAAATATCAGCTGTTGGCAACAGCGTCCAATTAAATTTCGTTCCCGACGACCATGATCAAAATGATCAGCATCAAGGCACATTCAAATTCGTACGCGACGTCGGAATACGTGAATGGGACTCGATTCAACGAATCGTGAGGGGGGGAGTGGGGTAACGACGCAAGAGGGTGAAAGGAAACCGGTGACAGCGAGAGGAGGAGGGGTATATTGTGCATCCATCCACCGGAAGCTGAATGCAACCTGACACCGTCTCTCACACGTGATTTGCCTACCTTACCGCCACCGAATTTACGGGTTGGGTAGTGTTGGTACAGGGCCGGAGTCAGGGTGCAAATGAGCTATAATATATACACTACACAGTGTTAGTGTAGGTAGTGTGACTAAGATAAGGGTGCACGATAGGTGCACGGCATGAATTTTTGAACATATCATTTTTTTCCTACGGTGCTATTCGAGATATACATCAGAAAAAATTGAAATATTTTACTCAATTTTTTTTTGGGATGTATGACAAAATGATATTCATCATACAGGACGTGGACAGAAATTCGGAATTGAGGAGGGTTTGATATCCGAAATGAGTTCATTCGAATAAAGTCATATAACCCTGTTTGTGAGAGATATAATTCCCATATCACTGATAAGAATGATTTTTCAGTAACTTCAGGATATGGAATGGTTCCACGAAGGGTATAGCGACACATTGATAGGTACCTCTTATCATCAGCTGATGATTCCAATAATTATTGTTATGTAGGTAACTTCCAAGGATTAATTTTTTTCCATAATTTCGAAAATTAGATTAATCTACCTGCTAACTTACAAAATATGTGGAATTGAGAACATAATACTATGCAACTGCAGGCAACCAACGAGACATGAATTTCTATTGAGATGGCTTGTTTACTCACCTTCGTGAATAAGATTCCATCTGAAGTACCTATAGTAGATAAAATCT